TGTGTGTGCTAAAAATGAAAATGATCTGGCAGAGAGCAGAGAACGGAAAACAATGCATTATGACTGCCGGACACACCTCAAGTTGACACCTCATGTTTGGTTTCCAAGCACTGAAAGGTTTCAGGAAAGAGTTACAAAGAAAAAGTAAAAAGTTCATACCATATTTTCAATGTAACATTAAACTTTTACCCTCTTAAAGTCACCATGAATCAAAATTGACAATTCACAATTATGGAATATTGCAGTATTTATTATAAATTATTTTGTTTTTCATGGGCCCTTGTAATCTTTAATCAAAGTAACCTCTCCTCCCTCTTGCAACATCTCTTCTCAACATCTCTTCTCTTCTCTGATGATGTGTTTACTGGCGTGAGTGCGGGACAAGTCCCGCCCTAGATTTAGTCTTGCTCAAGAAGCCATTTCACTCGTCATAATAAGTATACATCACAACGTGGAACAATAGAACAAACCCAACATTAATCTATTGCAGATATCATTAGTGTCAATATTTTAATGTACAACATAATTTGAGAATTTATTCAAGGGGAATCAGAATGCCTAATCCTGACTTGGAAAAGTGAGGAGGAGCTGGGGATGGAGGAGGGTAATTAGCTAAAGAGAAACGTGATAGCTGTTGATAATACTGAAGGAGCTTATATATGTATACAGTGATAGGTCTCATATTCCTAGGTAGACGTGGATCAGCTGCCAATAGCCAATAGCGTTTAGTTTATTATCACAACTCGGCCAGAGTAGTTGAGCTCGATAAAGCCGCAGTCTCTTCCCAATATCTTCCATATTGCTTTCAAATATAGCATTCTATCCAGAATTAAAATGGGTTGACACATTTTCTGGTCTGCGCCAACTCACACATATGATCCCCTCTGTGCTATCGTGTCTTTGGACCGGAGCTGTGGCCGCCCGACTTGAACTGCAAAGAAGCTCTGGCCACCCTGTTAAGGACGCTTGTCAAAAAGTACGGGGAAGCTTGTTGACACTTTGGCCGCTCTGACGTAGCAGCATTCTATGTTCGATAATGGGAGAAGAGAAGTGTCACAACATGAAATGTAATTGAAAAAACAAGCAGTACATTGACACTAGAAACCTTTTATAATGACAGCATTTTTATAACCGCTTTGGTCACATTTGGTCCAAAAAAAAAGAAGAATTAGCTATTATTATTATTATTTGCATAATTATATTATGCATATATTGTGCAATTGGTCAAATCGGTGTTACCGTGAGTAAATTACTTGCATTCCTGCTTAAAACGAGCGTTCGTAAATATTTCCAATGCCTCGTACTTTTGTAACTGGTCCCTATATGCAAACAACGTCATATCATAAATCATAGGAAACCCAGCAACGGCGATGATGTTTTGGTAGGAACGAAAGTTTACATTGTATGTTTCTCCGGAATCAGCCAGCGCGAAGGACGTCTATATTCCGATTGGTTGCTGGCGTTTTGCCGCTGCTTGCCGCTGAACCGAGTCACAGCTCATTACCATAAAGTTGAGCTTCTTTCAACTTTCCGATTGACGCTCTGGTCGCTCAAAACGCCCAAAACGCGACGCCGATGGATTTGACGCTCCTTGCAGCTGAGAGAAGCCAGCTTCCATTGAAAATAAATGACTTCTGGTAACTTTGCAAGCTCAAGTCGGCGGCGTTGTGTACATACAGTAACATGAAACTAGGCTTCATTCGCCCCATTGGGAAGTATATCTGAATCGTTCCCTATTCCCTATATAGTGCTCTATGTACCATTCACCAATTTTGATGTCATTGGGACATTAAAACTGCATAGTAAGTAACAGGTTTCCTTGTAATTGAGAGTGTTTCCAATGACATAATAATCTTATTGCAATAATATATAATAATATATTATAAATTACAAATACAATATATTGTCCTTTTTTTATTTTTTTATTGGAGTCCTGCAGTGAACAAAGAAAAAAAATCCTATTGTTTGTGAAATTCTATGTCAAATTTTATTTAAAGGTCCCAGGTTTGCACCGGATGCAGTCGCCATTTGTCTGTTTCTAATAAACCAGCCGGATGATTGATTTAGAAACAGAGGTGTGAAGGGTTTCAAATATATGACTTGTGGTCTTATCTGCTAGGTCAAAGGTTGTACATAGATTAAAAAAGCTTTAACTGGAACACTCTGCAAATACACACCAATTAATCCAGTTACTAACAACACTGGTTACACAATTTACCATTAGTCAGAGTCTACTAATAGTGTGCTTTATTTGAATATATTGACAACAGATCATTAACCTCTATTAAATATGTACTAAGTGCTAATTACTTTAATGGAAGAACTGGGTGTACATGTTGGTTGGCATTTCATTAACCACAAGGCTACCAAAATAAACTTTAACAAGTTAACAATGCGTCATTGGTTGTGGGTGGGTTGGTGGGTCTAATTGCTCAGTTTGAATGTCTCATATTTGGGTTTCAGTCACATAGTCAAGGAAAGGTTAAAAGATAATTGTAAATGTTGCTCTTTCTCTTCTTTTTCTCTCGGCCCCTTTTCTGGGGCACTCTTTCTTTGTCTCCTCTTTTCTTTGTCTCTTTCTCCCTACACACTCTCTCTCTCTCTCTCTCTCTCTCTCTCTCTCTCTCTCTCTCTCTCTCTCTCTCTCTCTCTCTCTCTCTCTCTCTCTCTCTCTCTCTCTCTCTCTCTTTCTATCCCTTAGGTAACATTTTACATATATGCTGGGTACGATTAATGGTTAAGTTTTTATCATCTCATACATCTATTGTGTTACTATTTTAAGTGTATTTTTAAGATATCGTCATTAAGCCCTTTCAATTACAATTGGTGTACTAATTAGTTTTGGTTTGGTATTAACATTAATGTGCTATATTGCAATACAATATTGTCACACTATTGCAACGCTCTCCAACATATTTTGCTATTGTAACTGCACTTATTTCCATCATTGCTATAAGTGGAGTGGGTGTTAATAGACAAGAAATTTTCATTTTTCTACCATCTTGCTGATAATGTTTCTTAAGTCATTCTGCAGTCCTGGAACCCATGTAGAAAAGCCACCCTTATACATATTATTGCCGGGCTGTTTTTTGAGAAAATGCTTTGGGTTTGTTGCAGCCCCACCTCAATACATTTTGTTAAAGACTGCTTACAGGATGTTGGTTCACCACATGCCAGATCAGGAGGCTGGGCTGAATGTGACTTAGTCAGAAAATGACTTCCCACCTTTAACTGTTTAAAACTATCCGATATAACAACTTCTGTCAGATATAATAACTGTCAATATTTATTTGTTGTTTAAAACTTAAGAAATATGCTGTAGAAGACATTGTAGTTGTGCTGTAAATGTGCTGAAAGTGCACATTCAGCTGCAGTCCATCATTGTTTCAAATACATATGAGAAAAATATGAATCTCTCTGTAATCCCAAGTATCATATTCTTTAAACGTTCCTCAAGTCCTTCCCCTCTATATGTTGTTGATGCGTACAAATTTTAGAGAGGTACAATTTAGGTTCCTCTTTTTCAAACTAAAAGTATTTCATTGCTAGCCAAGAAATGTTTGTTGTGATATTTGTTTCTGATTTTGTGTGATACCGTTTGAATGCATGTCATAATCCAGCAGAGCTATGGAGGAAAAAAGGAAGTTCAGATAAAGCTGCATTCATCAATATTTTTTTAACAATAGTGCAAACCACACCCACAATACTTAAAACAGAAACCAGAACAATAACAGAACTTCAGAACTGGTAAGTATTCATAATTAAAAAATATTATATAATATAATATTAAATTGTCCACAGGTGCATTCTAGAGGTTAAATATGCCTAAATAAAACGTTTTTCATGAGTGCACATAATCATGTATCTACTCGTTTTTGTTATATACTGCAGGCTCACTATCTGCCTCTCAGACAACACACAACGCTTGGATAAGCACACACTTGCAAGGTTCGCTGAACATCGTTTTATTACACGTAAAAAAAGGAAATAGGTTATTCAAAATATCAAACATTTGGTCAGCTTTAAAGGTGAAATGGAAGTAGACAAGACGTCATGATTTCCTGTCAGGTTTTCATCAAAAGTGGTTTTAACAGGAAGCGTTTCTTGTTGCAGAGACTCACGCAAGATCTGTGTTCACTTTGACTGCAGCTACAAATGGAAACATTTAAAAAAATACTTTTGACAGGTAAGGTACCTTTATTATAATTAATTATAATCGAAACCAATAAAACTAGGAAATCACTATACTGTAACCTAGCGTTTCTCTGAATTTATTTTATTATAGTGGCAGTCTGTGTGCAAGTAACGTCTCAAGAGAGCACTGGAGGTAAGATGTATATATATATATATATATATATATATATATACTATAAGTTGTTTCTGGTTTTTTATATGAATTTTTAAGGAATATTTTTTATTGTATTGTTTTAAACTGTTTTATTTTTTAGTTACACAAATGTATTTAAAAGTGTTGGTATTTAGCCACTCTAACCTAAGGATTATTCATCCACTAGACCCTACAATTCCCAAGCCCAACATTTCTCTGAATCCAACTCACAAGGTGCTGTACAGCACAGAGACGGTCACTCTGCACTGTGAGGTTCCTGAAGGAGCATCTGAGTTACAATATGACTGGTACAAGAACGCCGCTGATCTCGAAACTGAACATCAGTCCAGCATCAATGTGACAAATAGTGGAATGTATGAATGCAAGGCAAAAAATGGATCTTCTGAGTCTAAAAAAAGTGTTGCGTACAATGTAATTCTAGAAGGTGAATGGATATCATAATATAAAATATATATTCAGTAATTGTATTTTGGTTACACTTTATTTCGATGGTTCACTTTATACAGTACATTCTATGAGTTAGTAGTACTACTAGTAGTAACTTTGCTACTGCATGTCAACTAGTCATTAGAGTATTAGTAGACTGTTAGGTTAGTGTTGTGTTTTAGATTTGGGGTTTTAGAATAAGTTTGGTTTATTTTCGTCTCTTTAGATCTGCCTGAAGCGCAAGTCAAGTCAGACTGGACAGAAGCGTTTCCTGGTGAAAAAGTGACTTTGCAGTGTGTGATTCCTAAATCCGAAAACTGGATCTATATGTGGTTCATAGGCTCTGAGAGAATAGTCCCCACTGATGAAACAAGCATAAAAGACAACACTCTCACTCTCTCAGTGAAGTCCAGTCATAAAGGGGACTGGGAGTATACGTGTCAAGCTGAGCTGAAGGACAGGACGGTGAAAACAGCAAAAAGCGAATCACATTCGTTAAGAGTTCATGGTAAGTTTTGTCAAATAAACACCTGTTGTCAGTTTAGCTAAAAGCAGCATGTCCTGACTAAGTTATATTTATAATTATATTATTATACTTAGTTCATTATTACTAATTCTACCTCTGTGATTCTTAGATGGCACACCAAAACCAGACATCAGAAAAGATCAGTGGTTTGAGCCCTTCTACACTGGGGAGAAAGTCCAGCTTGTTTGTAACATGTCTGGTGAGAGATGGACATATGCCTGGTACAAAGGCAAAAAGCAAACAGAACTTCCTATAACAGGTTCAACCTTTACTATCAACTCAGCATCTCCCTCTAACACTAGTGACTATCACTGCACAGCAAAGAGAGGAGACTTCTCAGTGGATAGTGAGACTCTACAAGTGCGAGTTGAAGGTGAGCCCATAATGTACCTGTTTATAGTCATTTGTATTGTGCAATATTCATCCCATTGTACATTCATTGAGTTTCCAATGCCTTAGTAAAGTTCCCAGGAAATGTACGCACTAATTAAATGTAGACCCGCTTTGGAAGCGTCCGCCAAATGTTTACATTTAAATGAAATGACATGGAGTCAAGAGAGTTAAATAGGTATTTTATACGGTGGCCGAGAGAGCTCAATGCGCTGCAACTGAAGAAAACACATGCAAATAGAAGAAAACGCATGCAAATAGAAAAATAAAAACGCATGCAAATAGAAAAAAACCTGCATGCAAATAGAAAAAAAAACGCATGCAAATAGAAAAAACACCTGCACTGTAAAAGAATGTTTGTTGACGTAACTCATTATTTTGTGTTATCTTTTTGCATGTTTCTTTTTAGTTTAACTAATTTATGTCGAAAAGTGTACCTGACAAATTTGGAAAGGTTAACCTGACAAATTATAAAGTACAATGAACTGATTTAATTTAGTTAAGTGAACTTTGAATCTAAGTTCGGCCAACTAAAGTTAAGTTTTCTAAACTACATCCAATAAGTTCGGCCAACTAAAGTTAAGTTTTCTAAACTACATCCAATAAGTTCAGCCAACTAAAGTGGTGTTTTGAAAATCGAATTTTAAGCCACCATTATGGTGATGAGTGTTTGCTTTAGTTGGGCTCGTGACCCTTAAACTGTTAACATTAGATTTTATTTGGGAGTTGTTTCTGAGTTATAACTGGCAGATGATCAAAGAGAAAAGGTGATTCCGATGGTGTTGGATATATTTTGACATAATCATCACTTGAGAATTTTTCTGTGATTCTATAGCCAACGATTTTCAGCATTTTCAATATAGTCCAAAATATTTCTTAAAAGTGTTTCTGATCAAAACACTCTGAAAAATCATTTTATTTAGACACACTGACATCAATAATCAGCCTGTGAATCTCAACAATGGTGACAATAATAAAGCATGTTGCAGTGTATTTTGGGTGCCACCAATCAAAACTCACTTATGGCTCCCATCATGCATTGCGGTATGAATAAATTATGATCTGAAATGTCTTAGTAATATCCTTTTCCTAATTAAATATTCTGTTTGTCACCATTGTTGAGATTAATACACTGATTCTTTATGTCTTTGCCTAAAAAAAGTTTTTTTAGGCACAAAATTTTTTCATTTTTTTATTAAAACAAATTTTAAGAAATCCTTTGGATTGTGTAGAAATTTCTAGATCTTGTACTGTAGAATCACTGTGATGTTGTAATCAACATTATACATTTAAAGTCAGAGATTAGGCTCTAAATGAGTTTTGTGATGCAAGTCAAGTGATGATTATGTCATAACATAACCAACACCGTCAGATAATCTTTTCTTTTCGACCATCTGGCAGTTATAACTCAAGTACAACAGCCAAAACTAAATATAATGTTAACAGTTTAAGGCTCACAAGACCAACTAAAGCAAACACTAATCAACATAATGGTGGCTTAAAAAATAGATTTGCTCCTTCAGTGATTCTGCTTGTTAACATCAGGTGTCTTCAATAATGGTCAATCATCACTCAATGAATCACTTAATTAGCTCTTTAACTTTAACACTCCCAACTTTAACAAGCCATATAAACTCCCAGGAGAGTTCATTTAACACTGGAGTTTTTGCTGTGAATAATTCTGAAAAACATAATTTTACTAATGTTCATTTGCACTTATGAATTTAATGTATGATTTATTTTTATATTATTTGTTAACACAAGACTATAAACGCTTATTACGAACTAAAAACTCGCAACAATCACTTTCACAATATAAAATGTCACACTTACTCTGTATCAGTCTATTTCTTCTGAAGACACGTGTAAGGTCCAACATGGAAAATCATCCGGTCTCCACTGGCTTCTCTCGAAAATTCTCAGAGAAAAACATTATTCAGCGAATCATCTTGACCGGTTCATTTTAATGAATCGCTCAAATCCGCCCATTATGGATTAAATCTGACCATGAATAAAAACTAAAGTGGCTAGATTTTTTTTTTTGTGCAATTTAATGAATCTGTGCTCATATTGTAAAAACATTGTTGAAGTTGAGGATTTATTTTTGAGGTTTTAGGACCATACAGTCTACCAGACAGCAAGATAGATAGATAAATTAAGTTTAGTTTAATATCAAAGCATTAGAGTATAATTGAAGTAAAACCTGCAGAAAATGTAGTGCAGTTGTTTCAACTTACATTTATAAGTTAAAATAACAAGTATATTTGTTAATTCAACAGAAAATCTAGTGCAGTTGTTTAAACATACATTTTTGAGTTAAAATAACAATTTGACTTGTTCATTCAACTTTCAGTCTAGTTGAGAACAAGAAAACTTATAATTTCTTGTTGTCTGGACAATCTAGTTATCTCTACTCAAAAAAATAAGTTGAAATAACTAAATTGCTAAAATATTTTTTACAGTGTGGAAATGAAGAAAACATCTTCATCAGTTTCACAACACACGTGAGCTCCAAATGTAACCGGTGGCTCGCGACACCAGTTATAAAAGCGCTTGTCTGCGTTGTGTAGAAAGACACGGGACAACAGGCGGCGGTTTCACTGGATTTACTCTGTCTGATATACACATTTGTCAGCAGCCATATCACCCTGTAGCCCAAGACTGGTTGCCCACTGAAGCTAAGCGGGGCTGAGCCTGGTTAGTACCTGGATGGGAGACCTTCTGAGAAAACCAGGTTGCTGCTGGAAGAGGTGTTAGTGAGGCCAGCAGGGGGTGCTCACCCTGTGGTCTGTGTGGGTCCTAACGCCCCAGTATAGTGACGGGGACACTGTACTGTCAAAGAGCACCGTCCTTCGGATGAGACGTTAAACCGAGGTCCTGACTCTCTGTGGTCATTAAAAATCCCAGGATGTCTTTCGAAAGAGTAGGGGTGTAACCCCGGCATCCTGGCCAAATTTGCCCAGTGGCCTCTGTCCATCATGGCCTCCTAATCATCCTCATATACACTAATTGGCTTCATCACTCTGTCTCCTCTCCACCAGTAAGCTGGTGTGCGGTGGGCGTTCTGGCGCAATATGGCTGCCGTCGCATCATCCAAGTGGATGCTGCACATTGGTGGTGGTTGAGGAGATCCCCCCTTCTATGTGAAGCGCTTTGAGTGCCTAGAAAAGCGCTATATAAATGTAATGAATTATTATTATTATTATTACATAAACAAGAGAAGCATCTGTATAAATCACCCTCAAATTGCTCTCTTCAGTGCATTAACAATGCCAAGAGCAACATAAAACTGAGAAAACATACCTGATATACACAAACAAGAGAAGCATCTGTATAAATCACCCTCAAATTGCTCTATAACACAAATGTGATGTACATTTAAATCACCATGTGCTTTCATCTCCACATATATAGACCAAAGTCAAAAATATAACTTAAATAGGGAAAAAATGATAAAAATAACCACACAGATAAGTAAAATAACTAGGGCCGGGACTCGATTAAAAAAATTAATCTAATTAATTAGAGGCTTTGTAATTAATTAATCGAAATTAATCGCATTTTATTTGCATAAATATTTGACCTGAGAACAGTGAGAAGTAATTTTTTTCACATGGATTTTTAGTATACTATTGAATAATGACTGAATACATAAGCTTAAGCAACAAAATAGTTTATTTTTGTTCAACCAAGTCCAGCAGACCAGTGCAATTTTTGCCATTAAGTGTAGCAATAGCATATTGAACACACTAATGGTGTGTTCATACCGAACGCTTATACCGAACGAATTTAATTATTCATACCGAACGAATTTAAAGGAGCTGTATGTAAGAAATTTATTTCAATTAATCATAAAATGGCCCTGATATGTCATTAGACATTAAGAAATCATGTTCATTTCAAATACTTATATCACTGACAACAGTAGTCCGGCCAGGATATTGTCATTTAAAAAGTGAAGTTGCAGCCCTCAACTGATGTTGATGTTGTCATGTTGTGTTTTGGTCTGATGCTCCACCCTCCACCTATCTACCAATCACAAAGTCAGTAGTGTTGCGGGATCTGGGTTGCCAGCTCTGCTCTAGTTACCACTTCTTGGAGCAGACTACATTCCTGCTGGATCCTGCAGCCGATCTGGCAACCTCGAGTCAGGGGGGAGGGGGAGGGGATACACCGCTCTACAGTAATTTGAAAGTGATTGCAGTAGCAGTTTTGGACACAATCTTACATACAGCTCCTTTAATTATTTGCGCGAGTAGATTACATACAAAGTCAATGCAAAGACGCGAATAGACGCATCATTCGCGCCGGGCGTTGCGAATGACGCGAATTGGGCAACGCGTTTGCCTCGAATGTCTTCCCGGCAAGTTGAAAAATTTGGACTCGAGCGAATGTTCAAGTGTCTAACTAGACGCGATAGACGCGTATTTGACGCTCTATTCGCGTTCGGTGTGAACACACCATAATAGCAATAGCGAATTCCTTGTTGCATAGCTTGCACACAACCATGCTCTTATCGACGCTTCCATCCATTCGCTTTTTATAACAAAATTTTCCATCCACCGGCCAACCAAAGCGATCTCGTCAGCTTCTTCGTCATGAGCGCTAGTTGGTGCACCAGTATAATCGGTCCGCCGAAACTCAACCAGTGAGAAACGTTCCGCGGTGCAAAACTAAGTTTGATTAAAATAATTTGTGTAATTAATTAACGCGTTAAAGTCTGTAATTAATTAATCTTAATTAACGCGTTAAAGTCCCGGCCCTAAAAATAACATAATAGACATAAATTGAAGTGAAGATTTAGACACAAAAGCAACAATTAAAATAAAAATGAATTAAGATTGACAGGAGCCAAAAATAACCCACCTCTTCAGTGCATTAACAATGCCAAGAAGAAGAGGAGGAGACAAAACAGGAAATTGTGTAGCTCATGATGACATCACAGCATTTAAAGGGGAAAACGCTCATTTCTCAGGCAAGTGTACCAGATATATATGAAAATAAACCATTTTGTGTAAATTATAATAAACAATACATAAGTTTCAACAGTACACTTTCTGTACCTGTTACACAAATACTCACAACACCACCCAAATAAAGAAACGCGCAGCAAATAACACAGACCACAACAGAAATGTTTTCAGGGGAACCAAATAAGTGACGAACCCGGCAGGGACGTGCTGGTGCTTACAGCTTAAAATTATACTTTATGTATTTATTTCGTTTTGCAAAACATACAGAGATTACATTTTTATGACATACACCTTGTATACAATATACAAAATGTATTAACAATATGTTCAATGTCATCAGAATACAAATGAGAAAAGAACAATGAGCTGAAAACTAAAATAAATAAATAAAAAAGATAGAGAAGAAGAACATGAAGGAAAGATATTTATCTTTCATCAGTTAGCCTACACTGTACAAATTGTTTCATGTTATGTTTAAATTTTCATAAAGAAAAGTTTCATAAGAAATGTTAGGTAATGTAGGGTCCAAAGTTTTAAAGTTGAGACACACATACACGCATATTTTAAAAGCTTTTTTGTAAAGTAAAAATAAAAATGTATTTGTAACCGTTATATTAACAGCATTATATTTCTGTCGTAAGAACAGCAATTCAGCTGATGGACACCATGCTGTGTTGTCATGGGAACATCCCAGGTGAAAATAATGAGGAATTACGTTGTCTTTCGTTGCTCCTTCATCAAGTGCGCTCCACACGGCTGCCTAACAGCACACTAGAGCTCTGCTCCCTCCAAAGTCCCACTTCAAGGGCTCTGCCGTCTGCCCTTCAAAGGGAGTAGGGCATAGGGAAGCTCACGAGCAATAAGCACGTCCTAGCCGGGTTCGTCACTTATTTGGTTCCCCTGGAAACATTTCCGTTGTGGTCTGTGTTATTAGCAGCGCGTTTTTTGTATTTGGAGCACACGTGTGTTGTGAAACTGATGATGATGTTTTTTTTTTTATTTGCAGGTGTTTTTTTTTCTATTTGCACGCGTTTGCTTCAGTTGCAGCGTGTTGAGCTCTCTCGGCCACCGTAATTTTAGCCTAATTGATTTCATAAAAAAGAAACGATTAAGCTATACCAAAATTAACTTTGACGCTCAGTAGATTTAATGCTAGCATTAGGCTCTGTATGAACACATTCAAGTTACAGTTTGGTTTGTTTTCGTCTCTTTAGATCTGCCTGAAGCGCAAGTCAAGTCAGACTGGACAGAAGCGTTTCCTGGTGAAAAAGTGACTTTGCAGTGTGTGATTCCTAAATCCGAAAACTGGATCTATATGTGGTTCATAGGCTCTGAGAGAATAGTCCCCACTGATGTAACAAGCATAAAAGACAACACTCTCACTCTCTCAGTGAAGTCCAGTCATAAAGGGGACTGGGAGTATACGTGTCAAGCTGAGCTGAAGGACAGGACGGTGAAAACAGCAAAAAGCGAATCACATTCGTTAACGGTTCATGGTAAGTTTTGTCACATAAACATCTGTTGTCAGTTTAGCTATAAGCAGCATGTCCTGACTAAGTTATATTTATAATTATATTATTATACTTAGTTCATTATTACTAATTCTACCTCTGTGATTCTTAGATGACACACCAAAACCAGACATCAGAAAAGATCAGTGGTTTGAGCCCTTCTACACTGGGGAGAAAGTCCAGCTTGTTTGTAACATGTCTGGTGAGAGATGGACATATGCCTGGTACAAAGGCAAAAAGCAAACAGAACTTCCTATAACAGGTTCAACCTTTACTATCAACTCAGCATCTCCCTCTAACACTAGTGACTATCACTGCACAGCAAAGAGAGGAGACTTCTCAGTGGATAGTGAGACTCTACAAGTGCGAGTTGAAGGTGAGTCCATAATGTACCTGTTTATAGTCATTTGTATTGTGCAATATTCATCCCATTGTACATTCATTGAGTTTCCAATGCCTTAGTAAAGTTCCCAGGAAATGTACGCACTGATTAAATGTAGACCCGCTTTGGAAGCGTCCGCCAAATGTTTACATTTGAATGAAATGCCATGGAGTCAAGAGAGTTAAATAGGTATTTTATACGGTGGCCGAGAAAGCTCAATGCGCTGCAACTGAAGAAAACACATGCAAATAAAAAAAATGCATGCAAATAGAAAACAAAACGCATGCAAATAGAAAAAACACCCGCAAATTAAGAAAACATCATCAGTTTTACAACACACGTGAGCTCCAAATACTCACAACACCACCCAAATAAAGAAACGCGCAGCAAATAACACAGACCACAACGGATATGTTTTCAGGGGAACCAAATAAGTGACGAACCCGGCTGGGACGTGCTGGTGCTTACAGCTTAAAATTATGCTTTATGTATTTATTTATTTTTGCAAAACATACAGAGATTACATTTTTATGACATACACCTTGTATACAATATACAAAATGTATTTGCAACCGTTATGTTAACAGCATTATATTTCTGTAGTAAGACAGCTCTTCAGCTGATGGACACCATGCTGTGTTGTCATGGGAACATCCCAGGTGAAAATAATGAGGAATTACGTTGTCTTTCGTTGCTCCTTCATCAAGTGCGCTCCACACGGCTGCCTAACAGCACACTAGAGCTCTGCTCCCTCCAAAGTCCCACTTCAAGGGCTCTGCCGTCTGCCCTTCAAAGGGAGTAGGGCATAGGGAAGCTCACGAGCAATAAGCACGTCCTAGCCGGGTTCGACACTTATTTGGTTCCCCTGGAAACATTTCCGTTGTGGTCTGTGTTATTTGCAGCGCTTTTTTGTATTTGGAGCACACGTGTGTTGTGAAACTGATGATGATGTTTTTGTTTTATTTGCAGGTGTTTTTTTTTCTATTTGCACGCTTTTTTTTTCTATTTGCATGTGTTTGCTTCAGTTGCAGCGTGTTGAGCTCTCTCGGCCACCGTAATTTTAGCCTAATTGATTTCATAAAAAAGGATTGAGTTTCCAAGCTATACCAAAATTAACTTTGACGCTCATTAGACTTAGTACTAGCATTAGGCTCTGTATGAACACATTCAAGTTACAGTTTGGTTTGTTTTCGTCTCTTTAGATCTGCCTGAAGCGCAAGTCAAGTCAGACTGGACAGAAGCGTTTCCTGGTGAAAAAGTGTCTTTGCAGTGTGTGATTCCTAAATCCGAAAACTGGATCTATATGTGGTTCATAGGCTCTGAGAGAATAGTCCCCACTGATGTAACAAGCATAAAAGACAACACTCTCACTCTCTCAGTGAAGTCCAGTCATAAAGGGGACTGGGAGTATACGTGTCAAGCTGAGCTGAAGGACAGGACGGTGAAAACAGCAAAAAGCGAATCACATTCGTTAACGGTTCATGGTAAGTTTTGTCACATAAACATCTGTTGTCAGTTTAGCTATAAGCAGCATGTCCTGACTAAGTTATATTTATAATTATATTATTATACTTAGTTCATTATTACTAATTCTACCTCTGTGATTCTTAGATGGCACACCAAAACCAGACATCAGAAAAGATCAGTGGTTTGAGCCCTTCTACACTGGGGAGAAAGTCCAGCTTGTTTGTAACATGTCTGGTGAGAGATGGACATATGCCTGGTACAAAGGCAAAAAGCAAACAGAACCTCCTATAACAGGTTCAACCTTTACTATCAACTCAGCATCTCCCTCTAACACTGGTGACTATCACTGCACAGCAAAGAGAGGAGACTTCTCAGTGGATAGTGAGACTCTACAAGTGCGAGTTGAAGGTGAGTCCATAATGTACCTGTTTATAGTCATTTGTATTGTGCAATATTCATCCCATTGTACATTCATTGAGTTTCCAATGCCTTAGTAAAGTTCCCAGGAAATGTACGCACTGATTAAATGTAGACCCGCTTTGGAAGCGTCCGCCAAATGTTTACATTTGAATGAAATGACATGGAGTCAAGAGAGTTAAATAGGTATTTTAGCCTAATTGATTTCATAAAAAAGAAACGATTAAGCTATACCAAAATGAATGTTGACGCTCATCAGATTTAATGCTAGCATTAGGCCCTGTATGAACATATTCAAGTTACAGTTTGGTTTGTTTTCGTCTCTTTAGATTTGCCTGAAGCCCAAGTCAATTCAGACTGGACAGAAGCGTTTCCTGGTGAAAAAGTGTCTTTGCAGTGTGTGATTCCTAAATCCGAAAACTGGATCTATATGTGGTTCAAGGGCTCCGAAGAAATAGTCCCCACTGATGAAACAAGCATAAAAGACAACACTCTCACTCTCTCAGTGAAGTCCAGTCATAAAGGGGACTGGGAGTATACGTGTCAAGCTGAGCTGAAGGACAGGACGGTGAAAACAGCAAAAAGCGAATCACATTCGTTAACGGTTCATGGTAAGTTTTGTCACATAAACATCTGTTGTCAGTTTAGCTAAAATCAGCATGTCCTGACTAAGTTATATTTAAGCAATAAGGTTCGAGAGGCTGCGCTGTATCGTGAATAAGTCACGGGTGAAGGGGTTTCAGGCACTCCGCTTCGCATCGTGCCTAGCAACGCCATTCAGCCGTGACTTATTCACGATACAGCACTAGCCTTGAGTACCTTATTGCTTTTATAAAACGTTTACCACACAATAAAAATATTCAAGTGTATTCAAAATGTATTAGTGCAACTTTCATGAGGTAAAATCACTTAAAGCCTTCCTTCCGCTAGAAAAAAAATAGTCCCTGACCGTGAACAGCAACAACGTTCCAATGTGTAAATGCATGAAAGCTCATTTAAAAACAACATAGGGATTGGAACTAACCGTTTTATAATTATAATTATATGATTATACTTTATACAGATACAGATTATACAGAACACAGCTCTTTATTTTTGCATAATTTATAACCTCATGCTTATTTTATAATGTCAACATTGTATATCTTGTATATCTTGCAATTATTTATATTGAGTTTTGGTGCTGTTTATTGCCAGGCCAGCCTCAATTTAGGAAAATTTCCAAGGGGCTTCAATTAAAATTATAATAAATGCACAAATATACATTTATTTTTTTAGTCTTTGAATTATTTTATAGTTATAAAGGATAATTATAAAATATAATATACATTATATTCTATGTATAAAAACAATTATGCATTATTTTATAAATAAATAATTACTATTTATTTATTTTATAATTCTAAAGGATCAAAGCCAACTGTCGTTTTGAAGCAAGATCCATCATACCAAGAAATCTACACTGGGGAACAAGTCAAACTCAATTGTAGCATAAAACAGAAGACATCAAAATGGGAATATAAGTGGCAAAAAGATTCAGTGCAAGTGAACAACATTATCTTAAGTGCTACACTTGATCATACTGGGGAATACACTTGTACCATAACAAGGAGAGAGATAACATTTGCAAATTCCACAAAACTGAATATAAGAGGTAAGATTAATCTGTTTTATACATCAAAGCATAAGACAATGTCTAATATGTTAATAAAAAATGTCCAGTTCTCTTACATTATTGTGGTGTTTATCTGTGCAGAGCCGCCTCAACCAAAACTGTCAATAGTTTCTCAATGGAAAAAATTTTACCCAAATGAAAAAGTGACTCTGAAGTGTTCAATTGATGGAGACTCAAAAGAATGGGGCCATGAATGGTTTAAAGATGGACCTCGTGTTTCAGGTAACAAGGACATTTCCTTTTCTGGAAACACACTCACAATCAGCTCAGCAAAAGCGAGTCATTCAGGACAGTACACCTGCAGAGGAAAACATCTGAAGAGAACGCCAGTGACTACAAGACAAGCAGAAGCTTTGCAACTTCATATTCATGGCAAGTAAAACTGCTTCAGAAAAAAAAAATGACATTCTATGACTGATATATGTGGAAAAAAAGAGAGACTTGCTCCCAAAAAAGTTCAGTGAATAAGCTTTTGATATTTTAAGATGTTTTTGATTTAGATTGGCCTGTATCAATGTACAGTGGTTCATATCAGAATTTGCTGTTTCCTGTCTACTCTTGACAACTTTCAGAGGTCAGACACTATTAAGTACAAATTTGAAAATAGCATCTCAATGGAAAACAAAAATTCAGAATCGTATACTTGAAGAGAAAACGATGGAAATGAAAATGTACAAGTCATAAATTAACAAAAGAATTCAGATAGAGACAGTCAGTTGCCTTAAAGAGGTCAATGAGGATTTTGTTAGGCTTTCTATTCACTCAACCAATAATTTAGGTCTATGGATTACACAGTTTTAACACAAACTAACACACTTAAAGTGATGCATATGTGTCAGTTATGCACGAACGAAACAAATAAATAATGAGATTTGTGCAATAGTTCTAATCAACCAAATGTTTAAAATACATAATCAGGTTTGTATATTTATCATTGATACTTGCTTGTTTAAAAGCCATTTTTGAACCCTGTTTATACTAATGCCATTTATTTGTATACAATTTATACAGTTAACAGATTTATGCTGATTTATGCTGAATTTTAATGAAAGGGATAGTTCACCCAAACATGAAAACGATGTCATTAATTACTAACCCTCATGTCGTTCTAAACCCGTAAGACTTTAATCAATTTTGGTTCATTATGTCAAGGTAGTAAAGCCATCATTAAAATAATCCATGTGACTCCAGTGGTTGAACCTCAGTTTTTTAAAGCATGCAAGGGTTTTGTTTGCATAATTTACCACTTTATTTACAAAATATTAATCTCCAGCATGTGTTCGCGCAAGAGCCTGCTCTTGTCAACATAAGCATGCGTCAACGCTTGCACCGCTTCATAAAATTGAGGTTAAATTGAGTTACATGGATTACCTTAATGTCTTTATGTCTTCACTAAGTTTCTGGACCTTGAATGTGGTAGTTGCATAGCTGTCAATGGAGGGACAAAAATATACAATTAAATCTTAATTTGTGTTCTGAAGATGAATGAAAGTCTTACAGGTTTGGAACGACAGGGTGAGTAAATAATGACAGATTTTTCATTTTTGTATAAACTATGCCTTTAATACATTATGTACTATAAACAAATAAACTTCTTTACTCTTGCACCTTTGTATCTTAGAGTGGAAAGTGAATTTCAATTGGAAATTCAGTTCATATTCCCAGATCACCTAGAATAACAAACATACTCAAGGCAGTTCTCTTACGAGAGGTTCTCTCGTATTGCGTAAGCTAGCTTACGCTGCGGGAAAGATTCATCTTTGCTGAGATATTGAAGCCAAAAAATTATTTCATAATTTTGTATCCATACACAACGCAGTTCCTCTGCGGCAGACCTAGAGCGGGCTAGCTAGCAGCTCATTGGTTCGCTCAGAGAGAACTGCTTAAGCCTATGGGAGAGCGGGGCTGAACCCGCTTCCAATGAGAGGCGCCCGCGCGCTCATTGCGTCATGACCCGCCAGAATGGGCGTGGCCATGGTGTATATAAGGCGCTCTCCCAGGCTTATATGTTGATTCATTTCATCTTCAGCAAGCTGCACGCTTCTGCTGTTCCTGAGAAAAGCCATCGCCGTCGAAGAAGGCATCCTCTAGCGAGCTCAAGGACCCTGAAGAAGCCGGCCGTCTTCGCCACCTTCAGCCGCCCAGCAAGCTAGGCCATCCGACGATTGTATCCTTTCTCTATTTCTAAAAGAGCCGAGCGTCTTTTTAAAGATGTCTCGTTTTTCCTGCGGCTCTTGCCGCGCTCGTCTCGAGGACGGAGACCGCCATGTCATCTGCGCTCTCTGCTTGGGACTCGAGCATGCAGAACTCGCCCTCGCTGATGGAGGATGCGACCTCTGTGAAAGCCTGCCGTTATCGTCCCTGCGGGCACGACTTCTGGCAGTGAAAACCGCTCCCGCGCCGCCTATTCTCTCGCCGCGTAAAAAGAAACGCCGCTCTCAAAGGCCGCCGGAGCCCCCAGCGGAAACATGCGGGCCGCCGCCGCCGCCTCCCGCTTCCCGCTCTCCCTCCCCGCCCCTGCCGGACATTCAGTTGCCGCCGAGTGGCCGCTCTGTTGTTTCCGATGACGCCGCGGAGGAGAAGGACTCCTGTTCACTGCTCGCTTCTGACAGTGAAGACTGGTCATCTCTCGGATCCGCGAGAGAGTCGACGGGGACCCGCGCCGGGATAGAAGAGGAGCTGATGCGCCTCCTCTCACAGGCCGTCGAACGCCTCGGTCTCGAGTGGTCTCCTCCACCCGAGCAGGCCCCGAACCGAATGGACGGTAGCTTTTTTCATCGGCGCTCGACCCCCGCGTGCACCCGGGCCGCTCCATTCCTGCCTGAACTTCACGCAGAGCTGACAAAATCCTGGAATGCACCGCTCTCGGCTAGAAATCGCTCCGATGTATCCGCCTCGCTGCGCTCGGTGGACGGAGCCGCCGAGAAAGGCTATGCAGCCATGCCGCCCGTCGAGGACTTGGTCGCCACACACCTCTGCCCGCCCTCCGCTAGATGGCGTTCTTCACCCACGCTTCCTTCGAAGGCTTGCAGAGCGACCTCGAGCTTTCATGCTCGCGCTTACGCCGCCGCCGGTCAGGCCGCCGCTGCGCTTCACTCTATGTCTGTCCTCCAAGTGTTACAGAGCGATATTCTCCGTGAATGGGCCGAAGGCGGTAGAAAACCCCCCCCCGCCGTCACGGATTTGAGAAGTGCTACGGATCTCGCCCTTCGCGCCACTAAAGCCGCCGCACAAGCTCTGGGGAAATGCATGGCCAGCCTTTGTGTTGCTGAGAGACACTTATGGCTCACGCTCGCCGACATGGGAGATTCTGAGCGCGCCGCGTTTCTCAACGCGCCCCTCTCCCCGACGGGCCTGTTTGGATCTGCCGTCACGGGAATTGTCGATCGCTTTTCTGAAGTACAGAAAGCTTCTCAGGCGATGAACTTGTTTCTACCCCGCCGCGCTAGCTCTTCAGCGGGCCGCTCTCACGAGCCCTCCGCCAGAGCCCCATCACAGCGCCCCCCTCCGCAGACTCAAACAACTCAGCGCAGTCAGAGCGGCCGCCCTCGCCCTCGCTCTCGCTCTGACAGCCGCCGCAGACCGCCGCCCCCCCGTGGCCCGCGACCCAAGATCACGCTGAAGCCTGATCATCAGAAGTCTGCCTAACAATGTCAAGAAAACGACGGTGCTCTCCCGCCGCGGCCGGACCGCCGTCAAAGCTTCGCCCTCTGCCAGTCCCCGTTATTTCGCCGACTGCTGTAGTGTTGACCGCCACAAACAAGCCGGTGTCCCAGCCCGCTTGCGAGCGACAAAAAGCCGTTTTTACGGCTACCCAGAGAAATCTCAAAAAGAGAAATTTTGCCAGTTGTGTAGAAAATGTGCCCACAATCATGTGTTCACCCATACACACAAGCATAACATATCCCGTGTCTCTATCAGAGCCCCATCACATGAAACGGGCACAGCCCGCTCTAATATCAGAGAACATAAACACGCCCACGAGCTCGTGCACGTGTCCCCTCTCTGCTCGCTCTGTGTCACGGCCCATAGACTCCTCTCTGAGTGCAAATCCCGTTGCCACACACATTCAAAGCGCGCCCACACACTGTGTCCAGCCCGCTATGTGCAGCAATCAGGGCAATACAGCCATTCGGCCACTAGCCGCATGCTCCAAAGCGTGGGAAGCCATTCCAGGCATTTCCCCGTGGGTGTTAAGCATTATAAAGCACGGCTACCTGCTACAGTTTCGCCGCCGCCCGCCTCGTGCGCGCGCGCAGCTCGAATCTTCTGTCAGCCCGCTGGCCGCCGGCACGCTCCGCTCAGAAATTGCGACGCTGTTGCAAAAGGGCGCGATAGAGAGAGTCCCGCCATCTATGACCGAGTCGGGGTTTTACGGCCGTTATTTTCTGGTTCCCAAGAAAGACGGCGGCCTCAGACCGATCTTAGATCTCAGGTCTTTGAACAAAGCGCTCATGAAGAGACCGTTCAAGATGCTCACTACCAGGAAACTCCTCGCGCAGGTGCGCCAAGGGGACTGGTTCATATCTCTAGACCTGAAAGACGCCTATTTTCAGATCCAGATAAATCCCCGTCACAGGCCATTCTTACGTTTCGCCTTCGAGGGTCTTGTTTATCAATACGCCGTTCTCCCGTTCGGCTTATCTCTGGCGCCCCGTACATTCACGAAGTGCATGGATACGGCGCTCGCCCCCCTGCGAAGCCAGGGGCTGCGCATTCTGAATTATCTGGACGACTGGCTGATTTTGGCCCAATCACAGACGGAGCTTCTGTCGCACCGCGCAGTTCTCCTCGACCATTTGGAAACGCTGGGCCTCTCTGTCAACTGGACAAAGAGCTCCCTTCATCCCAGTCAATCGATTTCCTTCCTAGGAATAGATTTGGACTCGGTCACGATGACGGCTCGCCTGTCTACACAGCGCGCGCGCAGTGTTCAGCGTCTAGCCGCCTCGTTCCAGATGGGCACCCGCAGGCCTCTGAAAACTTTTCAGAGGATGCTGGGTTACATGGCCTCAGCCTCCGCTGTACTTCAGCTGGGCCTTCTGCACATGCGCCCGCTTCAGTTCTGGTTGAACAGCCGTGTACCCCACCGCGCGTGGAACACGGGTCGCCAGCTGATCAGGGTTACGCAAACGTGTCTCACGGCGCTGCAGCCATGGACAGTAGCAGAATGGTTTTCGTCTAGGCGTCACGATGGGGACCTTTTCCTGCCGTAAAGTCATCTCGACAGATGCATCCAACACGGGTTGGGGTGCAGTCTGCGGGGGCTCACCGGCCTTCGGCCACTGGTCGATTCAGGAAAGCCCATTACATATAAACTGTCTGGAAATGCTGGCGGTCGAGAACGCGCTCTCGCACTTTCTCCCGCGCATCCAGGGACACCACGTCCTGATCCGTTCGGACAATATGGCCGTGGTCTCCTATCTCAACCGTCAGGGCGGTGTCAGATCCAGAAATCTCTGTCGACTGACGCACCGCATTCTAGTTTGGTCTCAGAGCCGCCTGCTCTCGCTCAGAGCGACGCACGTGCCGGGCCATCTGAACGACGGTCCAGACATACTGTCCAGGAACCTCATCTCCACAGGAGAATGGTCCCTGAACTCACAGACGGTCCAGTTACTGTGGCGACTATTCGGCAGAGCAGAAGTAGACCTCTTCGCGTCAGAAGAGAACGCTCACTGCCCAATATATTTCTCGAAGAGCGAGGACGCGCTAGCCCAGGAATGGCCTCGCCGCCCGCTCTATGCATTCCCTCCGATCGCTCTGTTACCACAGGTAATTCAGAGGATCAGGGACACACGCCACTCGGTGCTCCTCATAGCCCCGCGTTGGGAGAGTCAGAATTGGGTTCCGGAGCTCACGCAGCTGTCACAGACAGCCCCGTGGCCCATCCCAGTCAGAGCAGATCTCCTCTCTCAAGCTCGCGGCACGATCTGGCACCCCCATCCACAGCGCTGGGCGCTGCATGCATGGGTGATCAACGACTATTCGTTGATTTGCCAGAGGGAGTAAGAAACACTGTCATACAGGCTAGAGCACCTTCCACGAGAAGGCTCTATGCGTCTAAATGGTCTGTGTTCTCAAAATGGTGCACCGACAAACAGCTGGACCCACGGTCGTGCGAGGTGCCGTCTTTGCTTGTTTTCCTTCAAGAGATGCTGGACAAGGGCAGGTCCCCCTCCACTCTCAAGGTTTATGTGGCAGCCGTCGCGGCGTTCGCGGAACCCCGACGCGCTCAGTCATTGGGCAAAGACGAGTTAGTCATCCGCTTCCTCAGGGGAGCTAAGAGGATGAACCCTCCGCGGCCCCCGTCGGTTCCGGTTTGGGATCTTTCTATAGTCCTTGAAGCTATGAAAGCACCCCCGTTCGAACCGCTCGAGTCTGTGGATCTGAAATACCTCTCGCTCAAAACCGTTTTCCTGACGGCTCTGTCCTCAGTTAAACGCGTTGGGGATCTTCACGCGCTCTCATCCAGCGCCGCGTGTCTTGAGTTTGGACCGAATGATTCGATTGTCATTCTCAAACCTAGGCATGGCTATGTCCCGAAGGCGATTGTTACCCCGTTCAGGGCTCAGATTATCTCCCTATCGGCTCTGCCTTCATCCGATAGTGAGCGCGATGCCAATCTCCTTTGTCCGGTGCGGGCTCTGAGATTGTACACTACGCGCGCTGCTGCGTTCAGACGCGCTGAGCAGCTTTTCGTGTCGTTTGGGGGGCGCACCAAGGGTCTGGCCGCCTCAAAACAGACACTGTCTAGATGGATAGTGGACGCTATCGCCTCTGCTTACGCATCTAAATGCCTGCCCTGCCCTCTGGGCATCAGGGCGCACTCCACTAGAGGCATGGCCTCATCGTGGGCATGGTCCTGTGGAATTTCCATTCATGACATTTGTGTGGCCGCGGGATGGGCCTCCCCGTCCACTTTTGTCAGGTTTTATAACTTGGAAGTTCCCGCCTTGCAGGCAAAATTACTAGCTGTCTGACGAACAGCTCTCTAAGAAGCTGCATTTCTGGAGGTCCCTCACAACCGGTTCGCCCCTTGTGCTCTCCTGTAATGCTTATACACTTCATGTGCCCGCTCTGCTGGCCCCATACATGCTTATGTGTACACTTCATGAGCCCGCTCTGCGGCCTCTTTGTACATTCACTCCACGTTAAGAAATTCCCCCGGTATATCCCTGGGTTTTTCATGAGTGGATTCGTAGCGCGCACGGCGTTGGCCAGGTGTTCCCGCAGCGTAAGCTAGCTTACGCAATACGAGAGAACCTCTCGTAAGAGAACGAATCGGTTACCTAACGTAACCTCGGTTCTCTCTAGAAGAGGGAACGAGTATTGCGTTCCCGGCCGTGCTTGCGCTACTAGCGTTTCGCTTCACGCTGAAATAAATCAACATATAAGCCTGGGAGAGCGCCTTATATACACCATGGCCACGCCCATTCTGGCGGGTCATGACGCAATGAGCGCGCGGGCGCCTCTCATTGGAAGCGGGTTCAGCCCCGCTCTCCCATAGGCTTAAGCAGTTCTCTCTGAGCGAACCAATGAGCTGCTAGCTAGCCCGCTCTAGGTCTGCCGCAGAGGAACTGCGTTGTGTATGGATACAAAATTATGAAATAATTTTTTGGCTTCAATATCTCAGCAAAGATGAATCTTTCCCGCAGCGTAAGCTAGCTTACGCAATACTCGTTCCCTCTTCTAGAGAGAACCGAGGTTACGTTAGGTAACCGATTCGTTATCGTTTGAAAGTGGTCCATTATTTCTTTTCTTTTTTTTAACCTCTGTTGCTCCTAGATGACACACCAAAACTAGACATCAGAAAAGATCAGTGGTTTGATTCCTTCTACACTGGGGAGAAAGTCCAGCTTGGTTGTAACATGCCTGGTGATGGTTGGGAGTATGACTGGTATAAAGGCTCAAAACACTTGATCTCAAATCCAAATCATACCATCAACTCAGCATCTCTCTCTGACACTGGTGACTATCACTGCACAGCAAAGAGAGGAGACTTCCCAGTGAACAGTGAGTCTTTTCAAGTACAAGTTGAAGGTAAGTTAGTCTCTTGTGCCCATATAAACTGCCTCTTGTGGCCATTTATTTTATAGAATATAACCATGGCAAAGCACTGAATGAAATTAAAATATGAAGTTAGTGACAGTTCAACCCAAAACGTGAAAATTCTATCAGCATTTACTCACCCTCATGTTGCTCCTCTACGACTTTCTTTCTTTTGTGGAACAAAGAAGATATTTTGAAGAATGTACTTAATTTTTGTCCTTACTATGAAAGTCAATGCGGTCTAATGTTGTTTTAGACCCCACTGACTTTCAAAATATCTTATTTTATGTTCCACAGAAGAAATACAGGTTCGGATGGATATTATGGTGAGTTAATGAGGACAGAATCTTCATTTATGGGTGAACTATCCCTTTAAGTGTAGTTTACTGCAGGATGTGCTTTGAACATACGTGGTATGAATTAAGTATTGATTTCACAAGTAAGTGCATTTTAAATACAGTAGTTACTAAAACTAGTATGACTGATGTTTACGTCTATCCTCGAGCTCATGTTAAGCTAGCCATGGCAAAGCAACATGATGCTATCTGTTAGCAGCAACAAATCACCCAGAGAGCATTTTTATTGACAGAACAAAACCACAAATCAAGACAGTCTTCAGCCCTGGACTGAAACCAGGACTGTTAACAGTTACAGCATACTAGCTGGGAGCTAGGTGGGAACAGTTAAACATAGACCTCTACACCACCACAATACTGTCTTACATCAATTTCTGCACAGACATTGTAATCTCAAAAAAAAAAAAAAAATGTGTACCCCCAATCAAAAGCATTGGTTCAATTCAACAACAGAGTCCGGGAGCTGCTCAGAGTCCAGGACACAGCTCCTAGCTCACGAGAAAGGGAGGAGTACGGGAGGGCTAGGGCCAACCTACACAAAGGCATCATAACAGTAAAGCGGGAGTACAAGCAATGCATTGAGGACCTCCACTGACCCCTCCCTCCCTGATCAGCTAAACACCTTCTTTGCCCGCTTTGAGAACAGCTCCAGCTTTAACAGGAGGCCAGATCCAGACACAGACAACAGCTTTCCAGAGAGCGACCAGCCACTTACTTTCCAGAACTATCTGGTAAAGAGCACTATCTAACATCAACTGCAATAAAGCAATGGGGCCAAATGGCATTTCAGGACGAGTACTGAAGGCATGTGCTGATCAGATCACTGCTGTATTCACACACATCTTTAACAAGTCGTTACAGCAAGCCACTTTTTCCACCTGTCTGAAAACTGTCACTATAATCCCCACACACAAAACCTCAGCCATTACCAGCATGAATGATTACAGGCCAATTGCTCTCTCACCCCGTGATTATGAAATGCTTTGAGATACTGTTTTTGTCCCACATTAAAGCATATATCCCTCCTGACGTCTACAAACACCAGTTTGCATTTAGGATCAACAGATCCACAGACGACGGTATTGTAATTGCACTGCTCGCAGCTCTTACACACTTGGAAAACCCCAACAGTTACATCAGGATGGTATTTTTGGATTATTATTCTGCGTTCAACACCATCAATCCAATAAAACTGGTCAACAAACTGCAAACACTGGGTCTGGGAGCCCTTCTCTGCCACTGGATTAAAAACTTTCTAACTAATAGACCCCAGCACGTCAGGTTTGTCCACCACTGCTTTTCCACCATCACTGTCAGAACCGGGGTCTCCCAAGGCTGTGATCTTAGTCCACCACTCTACTCTCTATTCACACACGACTACACAGACATTACCTACAAGGACAACAACCTTAACACAAAAAAGAAGCAAAAAAAATCAATCATAATAGACTTCAGGAGAAGCAAAAAAAAAAAAAAAAACATTCCACAATGGTTTGTGTATCAATGGAGAGAGGTTGGAGAGAGTCTCACGTTTTTTGGGAGTGTACTTTCCTAAGGAAACCACCTGCATCAATTAAGAAAGCCCAGCAGAGACTGTTCTTCCTGAGGACTCTGAGATGCAACAGGCTTCCTCAGAGACTGCCGATCAGCTTTTACCACTGCACAATAGAAAGTATTCTAACATATTGCTGCACTGTGTGGTATTCCAACTGCACTGCTGTGGACAAAAAAAGACCTACAACGGGTTGTGAAGATGACTGAAAGGATTGTCTGTTCCTCCTCCCAATCATGTGAGGATTGCATCTCAATCAGGACTCTGAGATGCAACAGGCTTCCTCAGAGACTGCCGATCAGCTTTTACCACTGCACAATAGAAAGTATTCTAACATATTGCTGCACTGTGTGGTATTCCAACTGCACTGCTGTGGACAAAAAAAAGACCTACAACGGGTTGTGAAGATGACTGAAAGGATTGTCTGTTCCACCCTCCCAATCATGTGAGACACAAATCATTCAAACCATTCAAACCATCTCCTCACACGGGCCACAAACACCCAGCAGAACCCCTCACACCCCGGAAACCCCTTTTTTACCACCCTTCCCTAATGCAGACTGAGAACTCCAGGAACATGCACTAACAGGTTACGGAACAGCTTTTTTCCCAGAGCTGCTACCACATCAACAACACCAACACCCAGCTCCCGTATACACACGCACACAACACACAACATACACACAACACACATATTCGCAGATAAAGCTGTAGCCCCCGGGCTTAATACAAAAACTGATCCAGTGCAATAATGGTCTCCATCGGTAAAAATGTGTCTTAATGTGGCTTCATGTAAAAATCTGTGCACCAATGACCTCTGTGCAATTGCTTTTGTGTTTCATTGCCCCCCTAAATTTTTATTTTTGTTTTGTTCTAAGCACTTCCACCTGCGGTTCTAAATATGGAGACTGAATTGAGCGACATCATGTCTGGGAATATCCTGACCCTCAGGTGTAACGTCTCAGACGGCAGACAGTGGAGCTATGCCTGGTTCGAGAACGAACAGAGGCTCAATGGGTCGTCAGATATGTTCAAAGTGACAGCAACTGAAAAAACTATTAAAAGTGAATTCAAGTGCAAGGGAATACGGACAGAAAGACCACTGTACTCTGCTCTGAGTGAGGGCTTCACAGCCAATAATATTAGTGAGTAATGCAAATGTTTATTTTTAAACTTCTTTCATACAATAGATGTATGATTTGGGAATTGGAACAATGTCAAGTTATCATCAAGATTTTAAAGATCATAGATTTAGATTCAACATTTAGGGGAAAAACAGTGAGATAAGCATTCTGTTACCATGATAGACATTTAAACTTGATTGACTTTATCATTTCCCTCATAATTACAGTATTAAAAAGAAAAATTCTGCTGGCCATCTCAGGATGTGTCGTCTGCTGTATTGTATTCCTGATCATTGGATGCCTCGTTCTAAGAATCACCCGTAAACCAGGTACAAACCGAAACCAATTAATATACTTCTGAAAAAAAGCATTATTTATGATACTGGTCTAATCATTAAAAAACAAGCAGTGTCTATTTACACCAAGCACCAACAACCAGCCTTGTGTCGCCGATTGCTCAGACTCACTTAAAGTGTAAATAGAAGTGGTACTGCATTATTTTCTTTGAATAGTATGTATCGATGGATGAAGTGCAGACTGGATTCAATTTGTTGATACCCTCGAGTACACTTAGTGTAAATAGCTGCTGCCTAAAAATATTAAATTGCTATTAAAAATTTAAGCCATTGACTTGGATTCAGCCATTTTGAGTTTGTTTTCATAATCTACCATTAAGAAGTTTGTGTTTGACAAGATTTGTAAATGTTTTTGAAAGAAGTCTCTTATGCTCACCAAGACTGACGGTGCATCCCAGTTTGCATACTTATGCACTATTCTATGCCCATTGGTAGTATAATAGTGAGAGTTGTGTGTTCAACTCAAAACGTTTGTTTCTTATCATTATCTTTAGAGAAAAAAGAAACAGTACCAGATGACTTATTTTTCTCAATGGCAGACTCCAAGAACCGTAAGTTATGAGGACCAAATGTTACCACAAGTACAGTAATCCCAGACATTTTTTGGTTCCTAAATCATTATGTCTATGGAAAGTCACCATAAAACATGAAAACATAACGTGTGTGTGTGTGTGTGTGTGTGTGTTTGTTCAGTATAAAAACCAAAATGTCTATGGAAAGTCCCCATAAAACATCTCGGATTACAACTGTAACCCTTGTTCCCTGAGAAGGGAACACGACTCGGCGTGCAAGCGTCTAAAGCACGTGTGAAACTAGCCCAATCTTGATGATGACGTAACATGTGACGTAGCATGCACCAGCGGAATGTTATAAAAGGATGCCGGCACAAAATAGAGTTAGCTTCTTACATGTCGAAGTAAGTTGCTCTCAGGCTTACGGAGGTGTGGCAAGGAGACGCATCATCTTGTTCCCTTCTCGGGAAACAAGGGATACAGTCGAAACCCAACACGTTCCCTTTCGAGGGAACTCGGACTGTGTCGTATGGCGACACTTTGGGGAATGAAATAACCACTAGGCCACACCGACTTATGCCTGTCCTAGTGTGAAACTGTCAAGGCACAGCTTAGGACGAGAGCACCTCTGTGTCCGGCATATAAGGAAGGTGCAGACTGTAAAATCTTATAAAAGTATGCAGGGTGTCCTAGCCCGCAGCATCACATATTCCTTGCAGGGAAACCCCAGAGAGAAGGGTCTTAGAAGATACCATGCTTCCAGTAGAATGAGCCCTTATGGCCAGAGGTGAAGGCATACTGTGCACCTGGTAGGCCAAGGAAATTGCCTGAAAAATCCAGTGACTGGTTGTTTTTTTTGGAGGCCAGGGATCCTTTCCTGGGCGACCCAATGCACTAACAATTGGTCTGACTTCCTCCATCGAGAAGACCTCTAAACATAAACCTCTAAAGCTCGCACAGCGCAGAGTATATTAAGTCTTTCTTGTTACGCAGACACATGCGGTGGAATGCCTGTAGAATCGTAGACCGTGCCACACTTCATGATACAAGATATCTTTCACCCTCCCAGGAGCAAATTCTAGACAGGGAGGATAAATATGAAGCTTGAAGGTCCCCAACCATTTAAATGGATGTAATAGCCAGCAAAAAAGCCATCACGAAGTACCGTACAACCAACTGGTGTCTCCCCAGCGGTCCATCAATTACAGGAGTGTGGAAAGCTGCAATTGTTGCCACGTACACCTTAGGTGTGGACGAGGTAAGACCAGCAGAAAAGCGATCTTGGAGGGCATCTAACTGGGTCCAACCCATGCTCTTTACACCAAGAGGAGAACACATTTCATTTCAGGCCGTACAGTCTCCTCGTGGATGTGGCTCTAGAGTTGAGTATAGTCTCGACCACTCCAGCTGAAAGACCAGCCTCTAGGTACTGAATCCCCTCAGGGGCCAATCCCACAGTTTCCATAACTCCGGTCAAGGGTGATATATTGTGCCCCCGACCTGGGAAAGCAGGTCCCTCCTGAGGGGAAGGTCTCTGCCTGCCAGGAGTGATATAATGTCCGAGAACCATACTCGAGTTGGCCAGTATAGGGCTACCAATGGCTGACTGACCCTTTCCCAATGGACCCTCTCTAGAACCCCCAGGAGCAGAGCAATCGGGGCAAATCAGGTGAGGGAGAACCACAGCGGACAGTGGGTCGTCTCTTAAGATGTGATTAGATCCACTTCCGCTGGGCCGAATCTCTCCCATATCGACTCCACCATCTCGGGGTGGAGTCTCCATTCCCCAGGCCTCAGCCCCTGCCTCGACAGGATGTCTCCTCCTGAATTCTGGTCCTTGGGGATATACATTTCTTTGAGCGACAACAATTTCCCTTGAGACCAAAGGAGGATCTAATGCAAAGAAGCGCGATCTCAGACCTCCCTGGCGATTTATATAGGTCACCACTGACATATTGTCTATCCGAATCAGGACGTGGTGGCCCTTGAGGTCTGGAAGGAAGCTCCTCAAAACTCTGTAAACAGCCAACATCTCCAGGCAATTTATGTTAGGTACTACTCGGGGAAAACCCCTTGGGTTTCAACCACCACTGCAGGGGTCTCATAAGCAAAGCCAAAATGTAACACGTTGGATAGAGCTGTCATGAGCCCTAGCAACCTCTGAAATTGCTTTACTGTGATGGTATGGCCTAGCTTTATCCTGCACATCATCGCCAGGATGGACTTGATACGTGCAGGAGTCAATTGAGGCCGCATCGTAGTCAAGTCCCATACCATGCCCAGGAAAGTAGTTCTCTGAGCAGGTGTTAACACGCTCTTTTTCGTTCCGAGTCTCAACCCCAAGCGCATTATTTGGCAAAGGACGATATCTCAATGCCGAAGTGCCATTTCCTGAGCCTGGGCCATTATCAGCCAGTAATGATGCAGTTTAATACACGGATGCCCTGGAGCCTCAGTGGGGCCAGCCCTGCATCCATGCATTTGGTAAAAGTGCGAAGGGAAGAACCCGAAAACGATAATTCAGGGTATCGTTTTCGGTACCCTGAAGCAGATGCCCGGCAGAGAAAAATCGAAAGCTTGTGTGTGTCCCTGCCCGTGATGTATCTGGGACAAGAATTCACACACCTCTTGAACTGCTTATCACTCGCCATTTTCACTTTCTTATTTTTCATTTTTATATATATACTCCTGACTGTTGGACGCACAACTCCAAATAGACAGACAGGTTCAACATAGAGAACTTATTGAAGAACAGAAGCTAATTTCACAATTTCTTCAGACACATGCACGCCAAGGGCGTTCCCCAAAGTGTCGTCATTCAACGCATCGCGAGTTCCCTCAAAAGGGAACATGAAAAAACAAGGTGTGTGTGTGGATGTGTGTGTGTGGATGTGTGTGTGTGTGGCCTGGTAAACCCTACGTTATGGGTACAAAATGTCCCCACAAGGATGGCAATATCCGAAATCCTTGTTCGTGTGGGGACATTTTTTGGTCCCCATGAGGAAATCAGCTTATAAATCATACTAAGTGATGTTGTTTGAAAATGTAAAAATGCAGAATGTTTCCTGTGATGGGTAGGTTTAGGGATAGGGGCAGTGTAAGGGAATAGAATATACAGTCTGTACAGTATAAAAATCATTATGTCTATGGAAAGTCCCCATAAAACATGAAAACACAACATGTGTGTGTGTGGGTGTGTGTGTGTGTGTGTGTGTGTGTGTGTGTGTGTGTGTGTGTGTGTGTGTGTGTGTGTGTGTGTGTGTGTGTGTGTGTGTGTGTGTGTGTGTGTGTGAAATGTATCCAAATTTAAATTTTTATGGGTCTTTAATCACTCTGCAGAAACGGCTTCACCCTTGGAGGAGTACATGGACAACAGTCCCACAGAGATGGAAGGTATGTGCCTTTAACTGTGTCTGGCTGACATTACAATCTAAAACACATGTACTCACTCACTTTAACAAATGGTACTATTTCATATCCCAAGCCTTTGTGATAATATTATATGAAAAACTATTAGTGAATTAACAAGTAAAGTTTTTCTGCCATTTTGCATGAATTTGCTTGTATTACATTTAATTGAATTATGATTTTGGATTTTAAAACTAAATCACTACACTCTTTCTAATATCATTCAGAATGTGAGGAAAAAGAAGAACTGCTCACTGATCGTGTTTCAGACGTTCATGTGGATGGTGTGATTAAAGGTAAGATACCTAACAAACATCTACTAGAGTCTATCATATCATAACATAAAATAACATAAATTAATCCTATCAATTTGAGTACACTCTAAAAAGTAATTCAGGGGACCTTAAAAGTAAAAAACTAATTTATTGATTTAGTTAAACATTTTAAGTTCTGGTGACATAATAATGTTGATCATTACATTAACTTAATATTGTGTGTAATTTAAACTTCTGCATTTCTCAATTAGTAGGGGCAACTTAAATTTTTTGGAGCAATCAACTTTAAGTTCCTCAACATAATTTCATTCAAATTTTCCATATCTCAAAAAGATTGATGCAAACTTCTGCATCAATTTGTTGTAGTTGAGCAAACACGATATTTTTAGAGTGTCCATATAAAAATAAAGGTTCCAAATGAGTTTTTTTCACAGAGATGAAGAATTACTAGTGATTAGATCTTTAAAGAGCCATTTTTGCACTATAAAAAACTTTCAGTGCAATGAAAAGGTTCCACTGATGTTTAAAAGTTATTCATGAAACCATCAATGCCAAAAAATAACCTTTATTTTTAATAGTGTACACAAAATGCAGGAGTATAATAATGTTTCTAAAGAATAATTGCACAATCTCAGAAATCAGTTATCACAAATGACTCTCACAATTGTTCTCTTGAAGATGAAGACTCACCAGCGGCAGAAGCTAATGGCCTGACATCATTTAAAGGTAGTTAAGTTACACTATTTTAATGGCTCTTTGTGCTTTTTATTGCTGGGTCTTAAAAGTCATATGAACAATTTCAGACACTAGATAAACAAATTCAAGTATGATAAACCCATAAAAACCTTATTTTGAATTTATTGTCATGTTTCTGCCTCTCCAGGAATCTGAACCATTATGTCAGCAATCAACATTGCAATGGAGTTTCTATATTTGCACTGAGACAGCTAAATGACATATGCTTATATTAAAAAAGATTGCATTAGCATGGCATTTTGTCTAGTAGCAGCTGCACTTTTAAAGGCTGAAAACCAGCTTGTTTACTGCTTGAGAAAATGTAGAATTGAACAGCACTGTTATGGAGACAGCATGCTGCCTTAAATGAAGACAGTGATTGTAGGGGAGACGAATAACGGACAGCAAGAAATGACAATTATTAGAAGAAATCGAAGTTATATCTGTACATAGTTTGATTAATTTGTTACTTGCAAATACAAATATTACAACAGGACACCATAGATTTTTTTTTGTGATTGTAATACATCTACTGGATTGTTTTGTTGTTATTTTGTATTTGCATATTGAACAAAATATTTTTTTTTCTACTGTATGAGTGCCACCTGCTTCAAAATAATTATGTAGTTTATGCACCTTTAATTTGAGAAATTGTTTCTGTGTGTTTGGGTTTTTAGTGTGTTGGTTCTGGATTTTTACATTTAAATAAACATGTTAGACTAACACAAAGTTAGACTTTCATTTGACTCGTTTTCAAACGCCAAATACACTCATTTTCTGCGTACTGAAGTCAAAACTATGAGAATTGTATAATGTGACCCAGGGCCCTATCTTGCACCCGGCGCAAATGACTTTGGACACTGACGCATGTATCATTCCTATTTTGCACCAGCGCAAACCGGACTTTTCCCTCCACAGACACACGTCGGTTAACTAAGAAATACACTTGCGCTCCCCGGGGTGGTTCAGCGCAAAGAGGAGGCGTGTTCCGGCGCAAACTTTCCCTCATGCTATTTTGCAGTTCCAGAAAACAATTGCACCACTGACCAGAAAAAACCTAGTCTAAAGTCAGTGGCATGTTGCGCGTTGTTCATTATGCTATTTTAAGGGCGCATGTTTGACCATAATGTATAGCGTGCACAATGCGCAAACACTTTGCTCATGTAATCTACACAGATGCAACAGTTATTTTTGCAAATCATACATTATAACAAGGAAAAATATTAACACATTAGGGAAATCATTGTGGTGTCCATGAAGATGTAAAAAATGTAGTTTTTTTCCTCCCACGCCTGTTTAACCGACGCTGATTTGGGTGGGTTTCTCCCATCCCCATACAACGTCACTTCTCTGTCTTTCACGATCCTGACAAGAACGTTGGTCTCCTCGGCTGTGAACCGCTCCTGGCGCGCGCTTGGTAAATCTGCCGTTATAGTAGCAATCCGCCATGCAACATGCGCACCTGCTCTTAAGGGTATGCTGGATGACGCTCTGATTGGTTTATTTCACGTTACGCCCAAACCACACCTATGAATAATGAAGCTACTTCAGACCAACCCCTTTTAGATTTCCCGCCGGGAAAACGCACCAACAAGTGGAACTGAAAATATTAGTGCAAGCTCATCAAAATTGTTTAATGGATTATTTCAAAAAGGTAATGAAGTTTCAATGTTCTATTATTATCTAACCATTAACCCTCTAGGGACCAAGGTGTTTTTGGGGTCCTTGAGATGTTTTGACATGCCCTGACATTTGTGCTTTTTCAGTTGCTTATAAACATATTACTGGCTCAGGTGAAATTACACTCTATTTAGCACACGCAGGGCTACCGTAATATGTGAGCAACATGTATGTACATGTTTGTATTTTTGAGAGAATATTGTTTATGCATGTTTATTGATACAACTAAAAATTAAAGTTTCTGAAATAAGGCCACAAAATACTAAATATGTGTCCACAAAGACCTTTGACTAATGGATGTTGTGGCCTAGAGTATTTGCTTCAAAATGATCTGAAAATCATCCTGCCTAACCATTCACATAAAACCATAGATTGCTTTAAATTGTGAAAAACATTTTTTTGTTTGAAAGGCAATATGCGAATGGGTGTGAACGGCCCAACCCCCTCATGTATAATTAGGTGATTCTCACTTGAGAAGACAAAGATGCATTTATTTCATTCAGGTGTGTCACAAGAAAGAATGCAAGGAAAATATATATACATATATACCATACCTGTCAACACTCCCATTTTTCCCGGGTTTCTCCCGTTTTTTAGGCCTATCTCCCGGACCCCTCCCGGTTTGTTATTTCTCCCGGGAAACTCCCGTAATTTGCATGACCCAAACTCCTTTATGAATAATCGGACCAATATGTTTGTCTAATGTTGCCAGATTGTATTAAATGCATTATATTGACACAATCCACACACTATTTACAATTTCAACCAGTTTTTCACCTCAACCTGGCAACCTATAAACCAGTTGCGCACTGCGCAGTCGCGGAAAGTTTAACCCAAAAGCGAGCCGATAGACATGATGGCAGGTGAAGGCGCCGGCGGTGTTCCCGCAAAGAAACTAAAGTACAATTGTAAATATCAACAATGTTGGACGCAACAATTTACGTGCATCTTACCAAGTCATATCGACAACCTCCACGCTTTTTGTAAGGTGTGTCGCATAGATTTTAATGTAGGCCACGGCGGGAAAAATGACATTAGCCAGCACATTAAAACACAGCGGCACCATCGCGCAGAAGATGCAAGTAAGGGCACACAGGCGATCTCATCCTTCATCACGAAAGGACAGACAGAGGCAGAAAACGTGATGCAAGCTGCTCAGATACTGCAGTATACGATGGCTCAGCCTCCACATCTGCATTGAAAGAGTGCTGAATCAATGGGCTGCTCTGCAGGCTTACTTCAACAGCCATGAGGATGAGAAAAGTGTTAAAATCAGGAACCTGGCAGGCTACCTTGATAATCCGGAGATTTCTCAAATGAGGATCTCTTCATTGGAGCTGAGGCCAGAGCATTCCTCGAAAAGGAAGAATTCTCCTCCATGTCAGTGACAAGGATATATCAGTAAGTTGTAGCTTGTGTAATAATCATACCTAGATGCTTCATTTGTTCATAGTTCCTGGTTAATATATTATGTGATTATGTGACAATTGTGCTCTTAGGACAGTGAGAGCTTTCTATGTGGAAGTCATTGGGAAGATGCTGAAGGCCTTTCCCTTACAATCTCAGCTGCTCAAAGACCTGGAGGTACTGGACCCAATATCTCGCCTTGATATCTCCCCTGAAACAGGTAAAAAGTATTGTAGGAATACTAATTCAGTACTTTCACGTGACCCTAACTGAATATTTGTTGGACATTTGTTCATACTACATAGTGGCAAGGCTAGGTCGCATGTTTCCCCAACTAAAGTTTGAGGATCCAGATAAATTGAGAGGGGAGTTCACAGACTACCAGGTCACAGACAGCAAAAAGTTGCCCCAGGAGCAGAGAGTTGACAGATTCTGGGGCCTTATAGGGAGGAATGAGACCAGGTTCAGTGAGCTGGCTAGACTGATGAAAGCATTGCTCTGCATTCCCCATAGCAATGCCTCCTCAGAGAGGAGTTTCAGCATGGTGAAAAAGATAGTTACAGAAAATCGCATGAGCATGAATAACAGCACTATTTGCTCTCTCCTATCCTGCAAAATAAACCACACCGGTTTGGTTTCAAAATACACTCCTTCCAAGAGGGCATTGAGAGCAGCTAAATCTGCCACATACAATTACAGCACTTCAAAAAAAAAAGTGAGCACATATTCATGTTTACAAAACATACTGTACTTATGTTTACAAGAGAGACAAGGAATGCTCAAGGAACGAACTGTGAATAAAATGTTTTAAATTAGTTTGTACCACAGTGTTATGTGTTTGTACTACAGTGTTAAAAACGGATGTTTTGTTGTAATAAAATTACAAATAAAAAAATATTAATAAATTAAGTTGTCTTCATTTATGGGTATTGCAATGTAAATAATACACTTAACACATGCAGTACACTTAACAGCATGAGCCTACCTCTTAAGGTGATGATACACAGGGCAACTTTTTGAGCAATGTTGCAGGGCAATCTTGCAGAGCGATTGTTGCTTGGGCACTTTCCCATTAAAAATGGGCAATACATTTCTATCTGGATAATTTAGATTAGTCGTGGGCCCTGTGTCTCATCTGGTTGCCCGTTGACGGCAACATTGCCCAGCAACATTGCTCAAAAAGTTGCCCTGTGTATCATCACCTTTACAGCCTACCCGCTGGAAAGAAAATTGTCTTTTTCCATAAATCTCTTATAAAGTATTATTTTTTTAAAGTATGCCAATACATTTTATTATACATATTTCAAAGTTAAGGATTCATTATTTTGATATAGCCTAGCTGGAACAAACACTATAACAGTTGATAAGTTTATTTTTGACAAAACATACTATATATATTTAACATATTAGCAGAAACTGCTAACAAAAGCTTATTTAATGTCTATTTTAGAGTTAAAACTTTATAATCTATCCTAAACTAGTCACACACACACACACACACACACACACACACACACAGAGAAACATGATTCAAATTTAAACAGTAGGCTATTTTTGCGTTTACAGACACTAGCGTTATTATATATCGCGATTAGAACAAAGCACAAAAATAAAAACACTTACAGTTCAGCTCGCTCCTGGAAGTGAAAATAAACCAGCACTTGTTCTGAGGTAGGGAAATGTCCCAGGATTATTCCTCACAGCCGCGCAAGACGACAGTACATTAATCTGACTAAATATAGTGTGTTTACAGAGTTTATTTGGGCGTTTACACGTCTCAATGTGTTGCTTCAGATCATTAGCATTTGAATAGCGCGCGCTCTCCGTGGGCGTGTCACATTAATAATAATAATAATAATTCATTACATTTATATAGCGCTTTTCTAGGCACTCAAAGCGCTTCACATGGAGGGGGGAATCTCCTCAACCACCACCAATGTGCAGCGCGCAATTTGGGTTGATTCATTAGATTCAATTGCGATTCAATTGCGCGAGCAGGACGCAGATCCAGTAGCTCCGTACGTGTTTGTGTTATTTTTAGTACTTAAGTGGCTTAAAGCACTAAACTCTTTATATAAAACTTGCTGTGTAAATCCTTATATATCCTATGGATACAATGACTTTTTACGGACAATACAGCGGTGGACAACTTGTTTATTCAAGGGAGAAGCTGCTTTCACTCCAAACAATGCGACGAGCTGGCATTTTTCACCACATACCTGAGGAGTTGAGGAAGAGGCACCGAGGATGCAGAGCCGGAGCGAAGGTGAAGGCTAGACAAGCGGCTAAGCGGTGGAAGTACAAACCCGCAGTTCCGTCGATAGTGATGGGGAATGTGAACTGTCTGACCAACAAAACGGATGAGCTCGCTGCCCTTGTAAGGACGAACAAGACGTTCAGAGAGTGCAGTTTACTTTGCCTCTCTGAAACCTGGCTAACCCAGAACACTCCGGCGGCTAATGTGGATCTATTTGGTTTCACTTCAGTGAGAGCAGACCGGGACTGTGGACACAGCGGCAAGAGCAAAGGAGGGGGACTCGCACTGTTTATTAACAACAGATGGTGCAACCAGGGGCACGTTACGGTGAAGGAGATCATTTGCAAGAGAGATATCGAGTTGCTGGCGGTAGGTCTCAGACCGTATTACATGCCTAGGGAG